GATGATGTCCTTAGTGGTACAGCATATAATAGTCTCATTGTAGGTAATATCATTCCTTTTATCAAACTTCTCAAGACTACCTTATTAGCAAGGTCACGGATGTCATTGTTTTCAGCCAATGAAGCAGTGCTTCAAGCTATTGTTGAGATTCTTCTTCCATCAAGGCATAGAGTGCCAGAGCTTTGTCTTGTAATAGATGGCAAAAAACGAAAAGGATCGGGCTGTTTTAGTTTTCTTGATATTTTTGTTCTGGGAGGAATTGAGAGAAATGATGTTTGTTTAGAACTTAAATATATTTCATTAAACGGTCTGGCGAGAGATGTTGGAAATCAAGTAGGAGTTCTTGGTGCTAATGCTTAGAAAAGTTAGATAAGATCCTTGAGACGGAAGATGAAGAGTCTTTACTGAATAGACGATACGTATATTAGTCAATGAATCTTAGAAAAACAGTACAGACAACCATACGTGAAATAATAAATGATGGATTAGAAAGTTAAGATCATATATGAGTATGATAGCAAAGAGTCATGCGGTTGGATATTCTACTTTGGGAGTATTCGATGAACGAATTAAGATAATCAAATCAGGTCCTAATAAACTAGAAGGATTCATTATCATGGTTGTTGGATTCCGTCGTATCTTGTGGAGACCCATTGAAGAAATGATATCCAACTATAAATATATTAATGTTTAATAAAGAATTACATCTTTGTGAAACAGTTTAAAATATTTTCTACTGAGTTCAAATGGACTAGGTGTTGTGAAAAGAGATGAAAATTACAAATTTGTTTTTTTTTAGCTAACTAATCCGAAATTGACTCAGGAACATTTTTTTTATTTAAGAAAGAAGTGTTGATATCTTAATAAGATTTTATGTTACGTATAGATAAAACGATGCAAAAAAAAGTAAATATTTTCGACATAAATCGATCACGTGAAATCATATAATAACAACTCGTCTTAGAATAACGTAACATGATCAGGAAGATTCAAAACAAACATTCGTTTTCAAAAATCTTTTTTAAACTCGAAAATTTGCTTAATAGATCATCTTTCATGCTCTAAAAATTTTTTGGACAATTTTATCATATGCCAGCCATTTCCTAATTTTAAATCTAACTCCAACCCTAAAATAAGTGGACTCTAAAGAATTTTGGAGCATTATGTAAGTAACCTTTTGGTCAATGTTAAAGTAATATCTCATGATGATAAGCCAATCACAAACATGAATTTTAATATTTTAAAGTTCAATATATAATTTTATTTTTTATAATTAACTTATTCTCTTTTTTTGATTGGGCATTTTGTTTAAAGTTCTTTTTAATTTAAATTGTACACTAAAAAAATAGTTACTTTTAGCTTAAATCATTAATAGTTTTAATTTTAAATTCTAAATTTTAATTTTTTTAATTACTTAACTGTAGTTAATGTACTGTACTTATTAGAAGACCCAAGGTTTAAACTTATAAAATATCTAAATATATTGTATAACAAAGAAATCTACCTTTATTTTAGACTAAAGAAATAATATGCAGTTCATAACTTTAAAAAAAACTATTTACAATTAATAGAATTCTCTAGTATAATATATAAAAAATATAATCAAAAAAAGATTTTTTAATCAGTATGATATGGTATATATAATAAATCAGAATACTAAACTTTATTAAGTAATTTTAAAACAGTAATGTTAAATAGTATTATTATTATTATTATTATTTTAAAATTAAGATAAGTACATGTGACACAGAATTTTATTAATAGTATATATTGGTTAGTATCTGTTAATATAACAGACACAGAGGCAATCATAAAAAGAATGTATATCTAGTTACTTATACAACTTTAGTTATTGTCTAATTTAAGTAGTCTGTCTGAAGGTTTTATATTAGTTGCTATATCTAAGACTTATCTATAAATTCTCTATTTAAATATTCTAATTTTATATTTATCATGTCCTATCAATAATTTTAGTAAACTAGTAAAAATATGTCATAGTCTCTAAGTTATATTTAACTTTGTACTAAACCTACCAAAGCTTTCTGTATTGTATATTTACAACTGATCTGATATCAGTTTGGCTTAAACTATTACTTACAATTAGGATTAACCATTAAACTATTAACTTTTGTAAGATTTACTCAAACCTTAGTACTTATCTTTCTGATATCTTTTCTATTATCTCTTACTAATTAAAGTTAAAAACTGTCAAAATTCTTCAGACTTCCAATCCAGATAGTCCAGTATAATATAGCTTATTATCTTTTTCTTCTGGAGATTCCAGTAGTCTGGTTAGTCATATGCTTCTTTATACATCTTATTATCTAGTTTATTTGCCTATTCTTATTGAAGGTGTTTTATAAGTTTTTATTAGTCTAATAGTATTATTAAAAATTTGTAATATCTCCTTATTTGAGATTTCCAAATAGGCTTTTGAATCTATAATTTTTTTGCTTTTTGCACTCTGTAGTCTTATTATGAGTTTGCACTAAAATCTTATGCAATATTATTTAAATATTCCTCTATGTATATGCAATAATATATCCTGAGTTTCTATTCAAAATGGTGTAACTGAAGGTTACAGATATATTCAATTTAACTGATCAACAAAGTCAGTTATAATAATATAGATATAATTTTCAAAATTTATTATTCATAGAATTTGAACTCTAGACCTGTTATTTGGAAGTTGACAACCTGACTATTTTATTAAATTGTTACGTTATAATTAAACAGTATTATTTTTTTTAGTATTAAGATATCCTATTTTGGTTCTAACTTTTTATTAATACTTATATTAGACATATATATATATAGATGTATTCATATTGAATTGTTAGATAATTATACAACTGGCTATATATATAACTTTTTTATATTATTTATTTAAGAAATCTGTCTAAAGGTTTCTTACTAATTGCTGTATCTAATATCTCTGCTTAGATGTTTTATTTAAATCCTCTAATCTGGCTTTGATATTAACTTCACCAAATTACTGACTCTAATCTTTTTGTTATCAAACTTTAAAACTATAATTTTTAAACTATTTTTATTATTAAAATAAATCTATCAGAATAAGCCATATTTTTAGTTTACTGCTAATCTAATTTGACACTATAGTCAAGACCAACACTTGCAGTTAGAGTTATTCATTAAACTGCTATTATTTTTGTAAAGTTTATTCAAACTTTGATATCCATCTTTATAATATCTTCTTTATTATCTCTTATTAGCTACAACTTAAAACTGACTAATATTTTAGACTTTCAATTCAGATAATCTAGTATTGGTATATTTATATATTTTTTTCTTTTAGTGATTTTAGTAGCCTGGTTGATACATGTGCTTTTCTTATAAATTTATCATTTGGTTTATATGACAATTTCTATAAAAATATTTTATGAGCTTTTATTAATCCAACAGCACTATTAAAAGTTTGTGTTATCTCTTTATTTGGAATTTTTAAATAGGTTTATGTTTTTTCAGTTTCTTAGTCTTTTATGCCTAGTGATCTTATTATGTGTTTATACCAAAGCCTTATACAATACCAGTTTTTTACATTTTGCTATATACATATAACATTACACTTTATATAAATGCCCTGAGCTTCCAATATTAGGTGGTTCTGATTTGGTATATCTAAAATTATAAATGTTCAAAACTTAACTAATTAACAAAAAACAGTTATTATAATACAAATATAATTTTCTAAATTCATTATTTATAAGAATTAAACTTTAGATTTGCCACTTGAGGATTAACAATCTATTCACTTTACTAGGTTACAATACACTATATTAAACAGTATTATTACTATTACAAATAAATAACAAGTTTTATTTTTTTTAATTTTTTTTAAGTTGAAGTTCTTGTTTTTAAAAAGTGATGTTTTTATTAAACATAGATGCTTTTAGGCAGTGTTGTATATAGAACATTGTTATATAAATTTTTAGAAACTTAAATATCTAAGATAATGTTTTATATTTTAAATAATATTCTAATTTAATATTGTATAGTAGTTAATAAAAATAATGTCTAATAATCAAATTTTATAATAAATTATATATTAAATCTTTTTTAAAAAATTTTTACTATGTGGAGAACCAAGTTAATGATGGCCAGATTCAATGTACAGAGCAGCCTATGGTACTCTTCATAGCTGTGATAGTCGAGCATACAGTGCGAATCTACAGAAGAATCTTCCACTTCCTTGAATTCCATTTTATCATCAAACATCAAGGAAGCACCACAAGAACCAATTCACAAGACATTATATAATTCAGACTCATGCTATAACCAATGGCTAGCACGTCTAAATTTACCCCTATTGTCATATCCACAAACACTCTATTTATTCTTAAAACATATTCACCAATACAACTTTACTCAATATAATCACTTCAACTATGTACTAAAATTAGCAATCAAACTTGACTATAGTGAATACTATATACACCCATCACATGTGTCTGAATCTCTATCTGATTACTTCTTTTCATATCTATTAGGTTATACCTACATCTATCTATACCTATACTTTCTAAATTCTCTCCAATAAACAATAATACATTAGATACTAACTCAATTATAAAGGACAATGAATTATTTAACACTT